TTTATGACCAGGCAATAGTTTTATAAATATTATGCCAAACTATCAAAACAAATCTATGTAGTGAAAATAATAGAGATGAGAAACTTATACACACATATAGAAACTGAGGCTTAGGTAAACAAACTCATTCAGAAAAGGGGACGTTTTCTAGAAAAGAAAAGATGTATTAGTCTTTCCACTGGGATGTATTTACCAAATTTCTTCTAGAATGTCTTTGTCATAGATAGATGAAAGAGAGAGAAAAACTGGGTCTCTCAAAGAGTCCACATCTACAGCCTCCTATGTCACAACTACTCTCCACACCTACACTATTGTCTTCATCACAAATCTGAATTATCAGAAGCAAATCAAATTCTAGGAATCTTACGACCTGATCTACATTTACAAGTCATTACTTGTCATTTACAAAATTACTTATCATTTAGTCTATCAATCTTTTATTTTTTGATCATTATATCTGAATCCAAATTATATTCTGAATGTCAATCCAGAGTGGTAATTCCAATATTAGCTATTTTAGGAGCCTCCTCCTCTTCTTAAAGTCTTACCCGACTTATATATATTTCATATATATTTATATATACTTCATGTATAATTCCAGTAATGGACTTTTATATCTACTAACTCTCTACTGGGCTTCCAGAAAACTGAGAATCAGGGATCCTGGTACCTATAGTCTTGCTTCCTAGAAGTATAATTTAGTGATTGATTGTGGTCAGGACTCCAGCTCAGCACACACCTGCCCATTTCAACCTGCCTCAGTCAGTTGGCAAATTCCTTGGCTAATGATCTGTTGAATTGTGGCAACTGGTCCAGAACCTAAGTATATATCAAATTATTTCTAGCATGTTAGCTATTCATAAAAAATGTAATTTTAAAAAATATTATGAGAATTTTAAAATTTTTGCTAAAACATTTGCTAAGTATTAAAGATTAATATCTGCATTTTGTGTCTAAACTATACTCAGCTTTTGAAAATATATGTTAATGAAACTGTTGGCCACATGGAGTTTACTTCTGAGATAATTAATCAAATGCATGTTATAAATTAACTGAATTTCTTATTTCAACTTTCTTTGAACCTTCAATCTATAATTCAATGCCCTCCCTCAAAATTTTTTCTGCATCTTTATTTTTGTCTCCTTGAATCTATCACTCTTAACACTGTTGGTGGTGGTGCAACAGCATCAGGTATTAAAACTATGGAATCAGACCAAATCATGATTCAACAACCTTGGTACTTGAGTTCTGGCTAAGAAAGATTTCAGAATCAAGACTCAAACTATGAGAGAAAGTTTATTTAGAAAGTCACAGAGGTAGAAGAAGTGAGCTGTAGAATAAGTGGGCTCAGGAAACAAGTTATAGAGGAAAAGAAGGATGCTTGATGCTTAGGAGAAAGAGACAGGCAAGAAAATGTGCCAGGAGAAGGGGGTGGGTAAGGGCACAGGCTTGCTTCACGTATGGGTACTTCTGTCTTGAGGGTATTTATCTGGAGGTCTCAGAAAAAGATGCCAATAGAATATTCATCAGCTTTCCAGATATGTCTTTTCAGGATTGTGGTCTCTACCAATTTGGTGGGTGTCAGGGGGTCATGAATCAAAGTAGCTGGTCTTGATGTCAGTCATCTCATCTGAAACACAACTGAGGCCTAGATGTATTTGATACAGGTCAGAACCTCTGTCTTGGAGTCTTAGTGCTTAAGGACTATTTTCTTGGCTCCCTTGTTCTTTTCTGAGAAAGGTCTACTGCATGACTAATTACAAGTTAGAGGAGAAAGGTCAGGGGGAGGATTTGACTTACATGACTGAATATGATCTAGGGATGGAAAGTTTGCCTCAGAAGTGAGGCCCTAATTCACAATAATCATTCCCAATACTTGCTCTTCCAGATCTGTCTGTTGCTAGGTATCCATTGCTAAATGCCTGAAACTCCCTGCCGTGGTGACATTCCATACTGCTGTTATCATTCTGCTCTGATCATGCCTGTGTGACTGCCTAACATAGTCCCCACTCAAGGATCTCGGCTCCAAATTGTTTAAAGGAAACGAGTCACAGGGTTTCTTTGGTAGATGCTTCCTGCTGAAGAGGGCCAACATTTTCCTTCAGAGCTAAAAAGAAATCCTTTCTCTCTGTCGGAGGGTTGATGAGGCCTGGGCATGAAAGGAGGTGGCAATGGTGTCTAGAGTTGGTGAGAAACAGTATTATCATATTCCCATAGTACAAATAGGGTTTGTAACCTGGAGGAGACAAACTGTGTAATAAAATTCAAGATTATTGGGGAAAAATCTAGAATAATATAAATTATAAATAATCCAATGGAAGAAAAAAGTTTTAGTCCTTAATAATTCTAAGTTAAGGGATGGAAGATAAAACGTTAGTTTAGAGGGTTGTAGGTAAATATCTGGGAAAATTAGAAAAAATTAGGATGTGTTTCAAATCATAGGTGAAAAATAAAAATTTGAAGACAATTAACTGAACTAGAGTGTAATATCAACAGTCGTGCATTATCGATTATATTGAAGCATATTTTTCCCACTGAAATCACCCTTATTTTCATTAATGAGCCAAACTAACACTACCCCTTTACTGCGTTAAGTCCTGTTTCAATATGGCCTGATAATTTGCATAAATACAACAAGATTAACAATTGAACATATAGAATCTGTCAAATTGTCTTTGCTGTAATGTCATAAGGAATATACACATAGAGTTTTAATTGGCCTCTCAGGGAAAAATGTCAAGCAACACAGTTGCCATCAGGCTTTGCCTGCAATGCTATAGGTTTTGGTAAGTTTTTCAAGCTCTCGAGGTCCCTAAAAGTGTTGAGATTTTTCTTGCCATCTTGTTACTGAATGCAGGTTCAGCTCCCTGTTGCAACAAAAGCCAAACTTGTGAGACAGGGGCTGGTGAGAGAAAAGTGGTTTAGTCAAGTGCCAGCCACCTGAGAAGATAGGGGACTCTCATCCCAAAGTCTGTCTTAATATCTCAGTGCAGGCAAGGTTTTATAAGGAGGGAGAGGGAAAGAAGAACAAAGAGATATGGGGGACAGGCTTGGACATTCAGGCAGTGTCCTTGCTGGTACAGTTATAAATATATAATGTCAGCAAACTGGACTGGGTCAGTGCCAGCCAAATTTTTGCACTTGGGCAATCTGCATCAGCCAAAGTGATTAAGGCCATACAAGCAGAAACTGGAACTGTTGGTATCTACAATATTCTCATAAGGAAACTGTCAGTGTGAAGTCTTTTTACCCATTTGTTAGTACATTTTATTCTAATTCTCTTTCATGATTAGCCAGAGTAGTATAGAGGTTTTATTCCCTGTTAAAGTCTTCCAGGAATGCAACCATTGTTCCTTACCTGAAAAGATTGTCATAAACCAGGTAAATAAGCAAAGTACCAGGCTGTTTTCCCAAAGGGCTTTTATTGACTTTCAAAAATCAATCTGAATTGCTTAAAACCTTTGGGTGACATGCAGAGTTTAGGCATGTCTCTCTTACACATGATATTCCAGTCAAAGTCTTGGGTAATAAAACCACAATTGGAAACTAGTTTTATATGTCCTATTATAAAGATATCAGATCCTTATTGAGTTTATGCAAACAAACATACTGCTATGAAAGTAATAATACTCATTAAGAGTTTTCAAATTTTGGAGGGTCGGGTACAGGGAAAAATATAAATGCCTCAATATTGTTTTTAAAGATAGAATTTTCAAAATTGCTTTAAGAAAAAAATAAGTTTACAAGAAAATTCTTGTCCTCTTAACAGAGTGATAAAGAAACAAATTCCATCCCTTTATAAGCTTAATTTTATTCTTTAAATTAATTTCCTCTTGAGGTGAAAAAGTGGGGTCTTAGGCAGGTAAAATGATTTTGTGGGCTTTGGAGAAAACATGGTTAGCAAACATTCAGTCTGTCTCAAGATTAATTTCCTCTTGTAGAGGTTCTTTCAAAATCACAATGAAAAACATATTATGAAACCCTGGCTGGTTTTTGCTCAGTGGTTAGAGCATCAGCCTGGGTTTGGTTCCCACTAAGGATATGTACCTTGGTTGTAGTTTGTCCCCAGCCCCAGTTGAGGTTATATGGAGTGGCAACCACTCGATGTCTCTCCCTCCCTCTTTTTTTTATTGCTCTATCTGAAGATAAATGCAAAAATGTCCTTGGGTGAGGAATATATATATATATATATATATATATATATATATATATATTTAAATAATAATCATTAACCAGTATAGGTAGACGTAACTAGTATTTCTCAATCTCTGTACCCACCCTATATAAAGAGAGATAGGCCTAACTTGCTTGCTATTTCAACTGCAAACCCAAGGCAACCATGAAGATTCATGGCTGGTGAGTCTTTTCTAGTCTGAGAGCTCATGGGGAAGAAATCATTTGGGAAAGGGCTGCCTTTTTCATTAGGCTGGGTTAAGGTTTGTGTGAGCAACCTAAACCTAAAAGGTTTACATGGAGAGGAAATAGGAAAAAGAAGGGAAGTAACGAAGCCAGCCTCTCAAGGCATTTTTGAAATAAAATGTAAAGGCCAGGAAGAATCTGGGATTCTACTGGTATCCTATTATTTTGCTAGTCATATCTGAATTTGAAACTAGGAGTCACTTGGGCACAGGATGCATATCAGCATATCACCCAGTTGTTGTTTCCAAAGAAAACAGCCTGTCAAACCTGTTCAGGATTTACAAAATTGGAGTGTGTCAGAGCAGAATGACCTCTGATTTTCAGGCAGCTAAGAGAAAAATCATGAAATCAACTCTCTTAGGTTACTCAATGACCATATGCAGATAATGCTAGAATCAGAAAGAAGTATATGGAGTAGATGCCTCAACATTCAAAGCCATCAGATCATTCCTCAAGACTATTGAACTCCGTGGAGAGAAAAGTGTGGTTGCAAAAGACCAAAATGATTGCTTCCTTGTTTATGAATTGAGAGAGGAATTGGGCTGTTTTCATTACTTAGGGAATCTTTGTGTTTCCAATAGACCAACAACTGATTAACAAGAGAAGACTGTTTATTCGTTCAGTGGGCCATGGTACAATAAATGCTTTGCTGGATGATCTATTACAAGACAAGGTGATTAACCAGGAGGAGATGTGCAAAGTGAAAGACGAAAATCACACAGTCATGGATAGGGCTCGAGTCTTGATTGACCTTATTATTGGGAAAGGAAGGCATGCCTGCTGGAAATTTATTCAGCATCTCAAAGAAGAAGACCCTGAACTTGCATGTAAGATGGGGGTCCATCTTTGCTAAGGTAAGGTCCAATGATTCAACCTAAAGTCCTAGTAGCCCCTGTATCTTGAGCTCAGTACTTGCTATTTTCATTTGTCTTATCAGTTTAGAATAAGCTTCCTATCATCTCAGCCTTAGGCTCTATTACTGTGTGGACCTAGTGCATGTTCTCTTGTCTCTAGACATAAGCTTTTATTTCTACCTATCACTCTCATCTTACCTTATCTTTCTACTAATGTACTTTTCAAAATGTGTAGGTAGTTTAGACATACATGATCATAGCGAGGATGCTGGACCAGGTACAGAAAGTCACCAGATGGAAAGCCCCAGGTACATGGCAAAACTGAGAAAACAACTACCTTGCTCCAAGGGTAACCTTTGCTCCCCTAGCATATCACTAGTCATGCACTTAGACCCCCTCACCTTACATATCTCTGGTCATTAGGTCCTGACCTTTGCTTTCCTGGCATATTGCTAGTCATGTTAGAGAAGAATAACAAGGGGGCCCAATAACAGCCCTTAAGCATTAAGCCCTCAGGACAGTGAGGTGCTGACCTGCATCAAATATGTCTAGGCCTTAGTTGGGTTTCAGCTCCACTCCCATGAAATCAGCAAAACCAAACAAGTGACTCCCTGGCTGACCTCAGGAACAGTTGCAATGACTCATGATACCCTACCCTAGTCAGTGGAGACCACAACTCTAAAGACAGACCTGGAAAGGTAATGAATATACTATTGGGTCCTCCCCTGGAACATCCAGATAAATGCCCAGAGAGCTCTCTTTCCTAGAAGCATGCTCACCCCTGATAAATCTTCCTCCCCCTCCTTCTCTTCTTTGCCCCATGAGCTTTGCCTTTACCTTCCTCTCTCCTAAGCTCCAAGGCCCCTGCTTTTTTTTGCCTCTGTAACTTGTTTCCTGACCAATTTCTTCTATGGCTCATTTCTCCCTCTTTGACTTTCTAAATAAACTTTCTATTATAGTTTGAGTCTTGGTTCTGAATTTTTTTTTTTAGCAAGAATTCAAGTACTGGGATTCCTGAGGGTTACTTTCTCTATCACTGGGTTCTTCTAAGAACCCAGTTCCAGTACTAGTGTCTGAGCCGGTCCATTCTTATAACCCTTTATTCTCTCCACAGAATGAAGATGGGACCTCTGGTGGACTACCTAGAATTCTAGCATTTTCTCATGACACTTCAAGGAGTGAAGGTGTTAGTTATTATGGGAGAAAAGAGTTTCCTTCTATCATAGACAATTAATGTCTCCAGTGGTCATCTATTTTAAATAAATATCTCACTCTGTTATAATGCTTGTTTTTTATTCTACCTCTCCCCATCCCAACCCGTGATAATCCATCAATAACAATAAGAGCCATAGATAGTTGTAATCTAATTGAGAATGTCCCTTCTCCTCTATTTGTTTTTTGTTCCATTCCCTTACAATACTATAGACAAGCATACAGCTCACTTTGGGTTGGGCTGTAATGGGAAACAAATGAAACCCTCAGTCAGAATATTCAATAGCACTGACTCTTCATAATGCACTCATCCTTTTGCTAGTTTTCAGCACCAGATCTATATGACAAATAGTCTATGTAAGAAACAAACTTTCCTTGCTGGGAGGATACTAAAGAGAACGTATGTACAGATATTCTATCGCAAGAAACCGAGCTTTCATTTCTTTCTGTTATTATATTTATTTATTTTTGTTACAGATGTTTCTTCTTTTTTCCCCATTGACACCTTCCTCCCCCTCCCTCCCTGCCCTGTACCCGGCTTTGTTGTCTGTGTACATTGGTCATGCATACATGCATATAAGTTCTGTGGTTTATCTTCCCCCAAACCCTCTCTCCTGGGGATTGTCAGTCTGTACCCACTTTCATGTCTCTGCGACTACCCTGTTCTACAGACTGTTATGTTCATTATATTCTCCAAATAAGTGATATCATATGACACTTGTCTTTCTCTATTTGGCTTCTTTCACTTAGGATAATACTTTCCAGGTCCCTCCATGTCGTCTCAAAGGATAAGAGATCTTTCTTTCTTACAGCTGCATAGTACTCCATTGTGTATATGTACCACAGCTTCTTTATTCATTCATCTACTGATGGACACTTGGGCTGTTTCCAGATCATAGCTATTATAAATAATGCTGATATGAACATGGGGGTACATATATTCTTTCTGATTGCTGTTTCAGGCTTCTTAGGATATATTTCTAGAAGTGAGATCACTGGGTTAAATATCAAAATTCGATTTTTAATTCTATGGGAAACACCATACTGTTTTCCATAGTGGCTGCATTCCCACCAGCAGTGTACTAGAATCCCCTTTTCTCCACACTTGTTGTTTGGTGATTATTGATGGCGGCCATTCTGACAAGTGTGAGGTGATACCTCATTGTTGTTTTAATTTGCATCTCTCTGATGATTAGTGATGTTGAGCATTTCTTCATATGTCTCTTAGCCATTTGTATGTCCTGTTTGGAGAGGTGTCTATTTAGTCACTCTGCCCATTTTTTAATTGGGTTCTTTGTCTTCCATTGTTGAGCTGTATGAGCACTCTATATATTTTGGAAATCAACCCCTTTTCTGATTTATCATTGGCAATGATGCTCTCCCATAGAGTGGGTTGCCTTTCCATTTTGGTGGTTGCTTCTTTTGCTGTGCAGAAGCTTTGAGATTGATGTAGTCCTATGTGTTCATTTTCTTCTTTGTTTCTGATGACTTAGGTGATGTATCAGTGAAAATTCTGCTGTGTATGATGTCTGAAATTTTGTTCCCTACATTTTCTTCTAGGATTTTTATAGATTCATGAGTCACATTTAAGTCTTTTATCCATTTTGAGTTTATTTTTGTGTATGGTGTAATTTGATGGTCTAGTTTTATTTTTTTGCATGTAGCTGTCCAATTTTACCAACAGCATTTATTAAAGAGGCTGTCTTTACTCCATTGTATGCTCCTGCCACCTTTGTTGAATATTAATTGAGCATAATGTTTTGGGTCCATTTCTGGGTACTCTGTTCTATTCCATTGATCTATGTGACTGTTTCTGTGCCAGTACCAGGCTGTTTTGATTACAGCAACTTTGTAGTATAACCTGATATCTGGTGTTGTGATCCCGCCTACTTTGTCTTTCTTCTTCAAGATTGCTATGGCTATTTGAGTTTTTTTTTTGGTTCCATATGAACTTTTGAAATATTTGTTCTAGTTCTGTGAAGTATGTTGTTGGAATTATGATGGGGATTGCATTGAATCTATAGATTGCCTTGGGCAGTATAAACATTTTAATGATGTTAATTCTTCCAGTCCATGAACAAGGTATGTGCATCCACTTTTTTATATCTTTCGCTATTACTTTTTTCCATGAGCTGTAGTTTTCTGTGAATAGGTCATTTATTTCTTTGGTTAAGTTTATTCCTAGGTATCTTAATTATTTTGCTATGATGTTAAATAAGATTGTTTTTTGTTTCTCTTTCTCTGAGTTCAACATTGGTGTATAAGAATGCTGTCAATTTCTTGACATTAATTTTGTATCCTGCTACTTTATTAAGTCTAGTAAATTTTTGATGGAGTCTTTGGTGTTTTTTGCGTGTAGTATGTCATCTTCGAATAATGACTGTTTCACTTCCTCCTTTCCAATTTGGATCCCTTTTACATTTTCTTTCTGTCTGATTGCTATGGCTAAGACTTCCAGTACTATGTTAAATAAGAGTGTCGAAAATAGGCATCCTTGTCTTGTTCCTGTTCTTAACGGAAATGCTTTTAATTTTTGCCCATTGAGTATGATGTTGGCTGTAGGTTTTTCATATATGGCCTTTATTATAATGAGATATGATCCCTCTATTCCCAGATTGCTAAGCATTTTTATCAGAAAAGGGTGTTGGATTTTTTTGAATGCTTTTCCAGCATCTATTGATATGATGATATGATTTTTAACTTTCATTTTGTGTATGTGGTGTATCACCTTTATTGATTTACAAATATTGTACAAGCCTTGCATCCCTGGGATGAATCCCACTTGGTTATGATGAATAATTTTTTTGATGTATTGCTGGATTTGATTTTCCTAGTATTTTGTTCAGGATTTTGGCACCTATGTTTATCAGGGATATTGGCTTATGGTTTCCTTTCTTTGTAGTGTCTTTTTCTGGTTTTGGAATTAGAATCATTCTGGCCTTATAAAATGAGTTTTGAAGTCTTCTTTCTTCTTGAATTTTTTGAAATAGTTAGAAGATAATGAGTATTAGTGCTTCTTTGAATGTTCCATAAAATTCCCCCGTGAAGCAGTCCAGGCCTGGGCTTTTGTTTGCTGGGAGAGTCTTGATTACATCTTCAATTTCTTTTGTTGTTATTGGTCTGTTCAAGTTTTCTATCTTTTCTCGGTTCAGTTTTGGGAGACTATGTGTTTCTAGTAATTTGTCCATGTCGCTTAGATTGTCGAATTTGTTGCCTTATAATTAGTCATAATATTTGTTAACAATCTGTTGTATTTCTGTGGGGTCAGTTATTATTTCTCCTCTTTCATTTCTGATTTTGTGTATTTGGATTCTCTCTTTTTGTTTCTTGGTGAGTCTAGCTAAGGGATTATGAATCTTGTTTATCGTTTCAAAGAACCAGCTTTTTGTTTCATTGATCCTTTGAATTGTTTTTTTGGTCTTCAAGTAATTTATTTCTACTCTGATCTTTACTATTTCCTTCCTTCTACTTGCTCTGGGGTTTTATTTTTGTTTGCTGTCTAATTCTTTAAGTTGTGAGGTTAGATAGTCTATTAAAATTTTTTCTTGTTTCTTGAGGTAGGCCTGTAGTGCTATGAACTTCCCTCTCAGAACTGCTTTCGCTACATTCCATAGATTTTGTGTTGTTGTTTGTTCATTTTTATTGATTTCCAGGAAGTTTTTCATTTCTTCCTGATCTCATGGTAACCCATTCATTGTTTAATAACATGCTATTCAGCCTCCACATGTTCAAATGTCTTTGCCTGTTCTTGTTGCAATTGATTTCTAGTTTCATGCCATTGTGATCTGAGAAGATGCTTGATATGATTTCAATCTTCTTGAACTTGTAGAGACTTAGTTTGTGTCCTAAAATGTGGTCTATCTTTGAGAATGTCCCATGTGCACTGAATTCTGCAGTTTCGGGGTGTAATTCTCTTTAGATATCTATAAAATCCATTCGATCTAGCGCTTCATTTAGAGTCTGTGTTACCTTGTTAATATCTTGTCTCCATAATCTATCCAGTGATGTCAGCAGGGTGTTGAAGTCCCCTGCTATGATTGTATTGCTGTCGATTTCTCCTTTGAAGTCTTCCAAAAGATATTTAATATATGTTGGTGCTCCTATATTGGATGCATGTATGTTTACCAAGGTAATATCTTTCTGTTAGATAGATCCTTTCAATATTATGTAGTGGCCTTCTTTGTCTGTAGTTATGGCCTTCATTTTTAAATCTGATTTATCAGATATGAGTATCGCTATTCCATCTTTTTTTTTCCTTTCTGTTAGCTTGAAAGATTTTTTTCCATCTCTTCACTTTCAACCTATGTGAGTCTTTTGTTGTGAGGTGGGTCTTTTGTAAACAACATAAATGTGAGTCATGCTTTTTTATCTAGTCAACTACCCTGTGTCTTTTTATCAGAGTATTCAAACCATTTACCTTTCAGATGATTATTGATATGTACTTATTTATTGCCTTTTTTGTTTAGTGTGGTTATATTTTTCTTCCTATTTTTTCTATGAATTACAGCAGTCCTTTTAGCATATCTTGCAGTGCTGTTTTGGTATTACTATATTCCCTTAGCCTGTTTTTTCTTGTCTGGGACCTCTTTATTTGACCTTCTATTTTGAATGATAGCCTTGCTGGATAGAGTAGTCTTGGATTCAAATGCAGGGTTTTCATGACCTCGATTACTTCATGCCTCTCCCTTCTGGCTTGTAGTGTTTCTGTTAAAAAGTCAGCTGAGAGCCTTATGGGGTTCCCTTTGTAGGTAACCTGTTGCTTTTCTCTTGCTGCCTTTAGAATTCTCTCTTTGCCTTAATTTTTAGCATTTTAATTACTATGTGTCTTAGTGTGGGCCTGTTTGGGTTCTTCTTAGTTGGGTCTCTCTGTGCTTCTTGAACTTGAATGCCTTCTTTCTTCACCAAGTTAGGAAAGTTTTCTGTCACTATTTCTTCAAGTATATTCTCTAACCCTTGCCCATTTTTTTCCTCTTCGGGGACTCCTATGATGCAAATATTATTACATTTCCAGTTGTCCCACAGTTCTCTTACTCTATTCCTGTTTTAATTGTTT